GTGTGTGTGTGTGTGTGTGTGTGTGTGTGTGTGTGTGTGTGTGTGTGTGGTGTGTGTGTGTGTGTGTGTGGTGTGTGTGTGTGTGTGTGTGTGTGTGTGTGTGTGTGTGTGTGTGTGTGTGTGTGTGTGTGTGTGTGTGTGTGTGTGTGTGTGTGTGTGTGTGTGTGTGTGTGTGTGTGTGTGTGTGTGTGTGTGTGTGTGTGTGTGTGTGTGTGTGTGTGTGTGTGTGTGTGTGTGTGTGTGTGTGTGTGTGTGTGTGTGTGTGTGTGTGTGTGTGTGTGTGTGTGTGTGTGTGTGTGTGTGTGGTGTGTGTGTGTGTGTGTGTGTGTGTGTGTGTGTGTGTGTGTGTGTGTGTGTGTGTGTGTGTGTGTGTGTGTGTGTGTGTGTGTGTGTGTGTGTGTGTGTGTGTGTGTGTGTGTGTGTGTGTGTGTGTGTGTGTGTGTGTGTGTGTGTGTGTGTGTGTGTGTGTGTGTGTGTGTGTGTGTGTGTGTGTGTGTGTGTGTGTGTGTGTGTGTGTGTGTGTGTGTGTGTGTGTGTGTGTGTGTGTGTGTGTGTGTGTGTGTGTGTGTGTGTGTGTGTGTGTGTGTGGTGTGTGTGTGTGTGTGTGTGTGTGTGTGTGTGTGTGTGTGTGTGTGTGTGTGTGTGTGTGTGTGTGTGTGTGTGTGTGTGTGTGTGTGTGTGTGTGTGTGTGTGTGTGTGTGTGTGTGTGTGTGTGTGTGTGTGTGTGTGTGTGTGTGTGTGTGTGTGTGTGTGTGTGTGTGTGTGTGTGTGTGTGTGTGTGTGTGTGTGTGTGTGTGTGTGTGTGTGTGTGTGTGTGTGTGTGTGTGTGTGTGTGTGTGTGTGTGTGTGTGTGTGTGTGTGTGTGTGTGTGTGTGTGTGTGTGTGTGTGTGTGTGTGTGTGTGTGTGTGTGTGTGTGTGTGTGTGTGGTGTGTGTGTGTGTGTGTGTGTGTGTGTGTGTGTGTGTGTGTGTGTGTGTGTGTGTGTGTGTGTGTGTGTGTGTGTGTGTGTGTGTGTGTGTGTGTGTGTGTGTGTGTGTGTGTGTGTGTGTGTGTGTGTGTGTGTGTGTGTGTGTGTGTGTGTGTGTGTGTGTGTGGTGTGTGTGTGTGTGTGTGTGTGTGTGTGTGTGTGTGTGTGTGTGTGTGTGTGTGTGTGTGTGTGTGTGTGTGTGTGTGTGTGTGTGTGTGTGTGTGTGTGTGTGTGTGTGTGTGTGTGTGTGTGTGTGTGTGTGTGTGTGTGTGTGTGTGTGTGTGTGTGTGTGTGTGTGTGTGTGTGTGTGTGTGTGTGTGTGTGTGTGTGTGTGTGTGTGTGTGTGTGTGTGTGTGTGTGTGTGTGTGTGTGTGTGTGTGTGTGTGTGTGTGTGTGTGTGTGTGTGTGTGTGTGTGTGTGTGTGTGTGTGTGTGTGTGTGTGTGTGTGTGTGTGTGTGTGGTGTGTGTGTGTGTGTGTGTGTGTGTGTGTGTGTGTGTGTGTGTGTGTGTGTGTGTGTGTGTGTGTGTGTGTGTGTGTGTGTGTGTGTGTGTGTGTGTGTGTGTGTGTGTGTGTGTGTGTGTGTGTGTGTGTGTGTGTGTGTGTGTGTGTGTGTGTGTGTGTGTGTGTGTGTGTGTGTGTGTGTGTGTGTGTGTGTGTGTGTGTGTGTGTGTGTGTGTGTGTGTGTGTGTGTGTGTGTGTGTGTGTGTGTGTGTGTGTGTGTGTGTGTGTGTGTGTGTGTGTGTGTGTGTGTGTGTGTGTGTGTGTGTGTGTGTGTGTGTGTGTGTGTGTGTGTGTGTGTGTGTGTGTGTGTGTGTGTGTGTGTGTGTGTGTGTGGTGTGTGTGTGTGTGTGTGTGTGTGTGTGTGTGTGTGTGTGTGTGTGTGTGTGTGTGTGTGTGTGTGTGTGTGTGTGTGTGTGTGTGTGTGTGTGTGTGTGTGTGTGTGTGTGTGTGTGTGTGTGTGTGTGTGTGTGTGTGTGTGTGTGTGTGTGTGTGTGTGTGTGTGTGTGTGTGTGTGTGTGTGTGTGTGTGTGTGTGTGTGTGTGTGTGTGTGTGTGTGTGTGTGTGTGTGTGTGTGTGTGTGTGTGTGTGTGTGTGTGTGTGTGTGTGTGTGTGTGTGTGTGTGTGTGTGTGTGTGTGTGTGTGTGTGTGTGTGTGTGTGTGTGTGTGTGTGTGTGTGTGGTGTGTGTGTGTGTGTGTGTGTGTGTGTGTGTGTGTGTGTGTGTGTGTGTGTGTGTGTGTGTGTGTGTGTGTGTGTGTGTGTGTGTGTGTGTGTGTGTGTGTGTGTGTGTGTGTGTGTGTGTGTGTGTGTGTGTGTGTGTGTGTGTGTGTGTGTGTGTGTGTGTGTGTGTGTGTGTGTGTGTGTGTGTGTGTGTGTGTGTGTGTGTGTGTGTGTGTGTGTGTGTGTGTGTGTGTGTGTGTGTGTGTGTGTGTGTGTGTGTGTGTGTGTGTGTGTGTGTGTGTGTGTGTGTGTGTGTGTGTGTGTGTGTGTGTGTGTGTGTGTGTGTGTGTGTGTGTGTGTGTGTGTGTGTGTG